AATATTCTAAAAGATGTAAAGTAGAGAACTCAATTGTCAATATGTCAACAATATTGTAATAATTAGTAGCAACAACTGAGTTTTATTTTAGTTAAATTTTTCAAGCCACCACAACCGCCATCACAACCCTTGAGCAATTCTAAATTTTTCAAGCCACCACAACCCTTGAGCAATTCTAAATTTTTCAAGCCACCACAACCCTTGAGCAATTCTAAATTTTTCAAGCCACCACAACCCTTGAGCAATTCTAAATTTTTCAAGCCACCACAACCCTTGAGCAATTCTAAATTTTTCAAGTCACCACAACCCTTGAGCAATTCTAAATTTTTCAAGCCACCACAACCCTTGAGCAATTCTAAATTTTTCAAGCCACCACAACCCTTGAGCAATTCTAAATTTTTCAAGCCACCACAACCCTTGAGCAATTCTAATTTTTTCAAGCCACCGCAACCCTTGAGCAATTCTAATTGCAAAACTCGCTAAAAAATATGATTAAAAGATATTAAAATGTTTTTTATATTTTTCCTAAAAGTAATAACTAATAACCTAGTTAAAAGTAATTCAAGTCACCTAAAAATTAATAACAATTTATCGAATGGAATCAGGTTTATTTCCTAATCGTGATTTATTTCTCCCTGTAAAGGATGAAGATATATACAAATTAACTTTCAATGAAAGAAATCTGAAATTAGTACAGAGATTCCTTTACTTTTGTATAATAAAGAAACCAAATTAATTCTCAAAAACACTTTTTGTATATTTTTATGTTTAAAGTATATACACTAATGTTCCATTACTACATGTGGCAATCACCTTTGTGTTTCATTACATGTGGCAATCACTTTTGTGTTCTATTACTGCATGTGGCAATCACCTTTGTGTTTTGTGTTAAAAAGTTATATTGTTGCATACCAGTTGTTTTTAAATGTTTGAATGCAACATGTAAAAAAGAATCAGCAATTTATTAAAGATTTTTTTAATGCCAATTGACCATCCCATTTTTTTAATGCCAATCGACCAATTGAGCCTTCCCAGAAAATCTTGTGGTAATACCAATAATTATTCATGTTTGTCCATTTTTAAAGACAATTTTCCAATTTTTATACAGTAAGCATTCCAAGAATTTGTGGCAAAATAAAACTATAAGAAACTACAGAGAATAAAACAGCAATGCTTGAAGAAACAAATACTATATGAAAGTAAACAAATACTATACGAAATAGAAAATACAAATAATACTAAAAAAATTGTGTCAAAAAAATAATATACCTATATATTTTACTATTTTTGTTTTCTTTTGGGCATTTGTTATTTTTCACTACCAAAGTTGATTTAAGTTGAGGAAAAAAGCATATTAGAATATAACGAAAATTAAAATATTTTTTGATATACAGTTTAATTGTGACTTATTTCACTTAACATATTAAGGAAATACTTTATAGTTTGCGCTAGAAACATGGATAATTTTAAAATTTGTTTTTTAAATGTTTTTGCTAAGCTTTACTGTTTTTATCAATTCACAAGAAAGCAAAAAAAACTGCTATTTGTAAAAATATTTTTTTATTTTTCAATAAGTTTTTAATGTAAAAAAATAAAAATTCATTAATACTAATATTCAAATATAAAATATTTGGTTGATTTCACTAACCCCATTTAAATAGTCTTTACTTTCATTGGGTTCTCGAAATTGTGCATTTAAACCTGATAGTTTATTTCCTGATGAACTATTGTTATTAACAATGCTTCAAACGCTTGTGGGCTAGTGCATTGTTAATTTACTAAACTTTTTTTAATGAAATTTTAAGGAGCCTATTACTGTTTTTAAAACTATTTTTTTAGTTTTTAAATAAATTTGTTTAAACAGAACAGTCGTTATGTTCATTAATCTTAATAATTTGTATTAATATAGGAAATCAAGAAATTTAAAGGAAACAATTTCAGACAGGCATCAAATGTGGTAAATACATTTATAAAAGAAACCATGCTATTCTTTTATTTAATTTCTTCTGTCATACAAAATTTTATAATCAAATATGTTTTACTAATAAATAGCAATTTATTTTCTTATTTTCCTATAATATAAGTATTAGGAAAAAACATCAAATATAGCAAAAACATTTTTAAAAGTGAAAAGACATGAAAACGAATAAACATAAGAAGAAAAAAAATAACAAAATTTATCATAGTTTTAGCATATATAGCAAATTAGTTTCTTAATTATACAGACAGATAAAAATTGTTAATAAATTGCATATCAAAACTTTCAATTGTTGTTAAATTTTTACAAAATGTTTTTTTCCTCAACTTGTATTAATTTCAGTAGCTTAAAATAACAAATACCCCAAAATAACAAATACCCCAAAATAAAGAATACAAAAGTTGCATAAAAAATTTTTTTTTTTTTTTAATTTTCTTTTTTTGATTATTAAAATTTTCTAGTTTATTTAATTAAAGTTTGATATTTTGTTACAATTTTTGTTTCCTTTTTTTAGTGTAGTTAATTTTTTTTTCAGTAAATAAGTTTAGCTTTTTGTTGCCAATTATTGAAACTTTTTAAAGGTTAAAAGATGCTGTGATCAGTGTGTCTGAAAAATTACTTTAAACATGGTTGAAAAACTTCAATTGTTGTTAAATTTTTACAAAATGTTTTTTTCCTCAACTTGTATTAATTTCAGTAGCTTAAAATAACAAATACCCCAAAATAACAAATACCCCAAAATAAAGAATACAAAAGTTGCATAAAAAATTTTTTTTTTTTTTTAATTTTCTTTTTTTGATTATTAAAATTTTCTAGTTTATTTAATTAAAGTTTGATATTTTGTTACAATTTTTGTTTCCTTTTTTTAGTGTAGTTAATTTTTTTTTCAGTAAATAAGTTTAGCTTTTTGTTGCCAATTATTGAAACTTTTTAAAGGTTAAAAGATGCTGTGATCAGTGTGTCTGAAAAATTACTTTAAACATGGTTGAACAAGGCAAGCAATTGCACGCTAAGAGGCGTCGATTTTTTTTTTTTTTCAAATATCAAAAAAAGAGTAGTAAAAAAAAGTAATTTTATGATTAGTTAAGAACAGAGAAATTTTAAAAATTAGATTTTATTAAAGGCTAGCTCAGTAAATTTTGGTATGAATTTTTACACTTTTGGTCATTTAAATGTTTATTATTATTTTTTTAATTAAATTGCACTGATAATTGTTTTTATACCTATTATCATGATGTACAACGTTCTTAATAAACAATAGTACTTAAATACTGAAATTTAAAAATTTATATTTATATTAAGTAAGGGCTGGTGTTACCTAATAGTCATTTTTCAAGGCAATGCTGTGGCTAGTACCCCCTCCCCCCCCAAAAAAAAAAACAGGCGTCAAATTCTAAAAACCCCTCTACAATTAGGTATTACTAAAATACTTCCTAATTTGAAAAAGAGCCCCTATAATTCCCCCTTTTACCATATACCGTAGGGCTTACCCAATTCTAACTATTAAGAATATTAAAGATACAAGTTTTTAATTAAGATATCGCTTTATAGTTTTTAGCTACTCCAGTTGCATTTTAAAAAGGGTTGCCATATCTTTTTTGCTTCCTTTTCTTGACATTAAATGTCTTCTTGCAAGCTGAGCATTATATAAGATTCTCTTCTTTCATGTGTGTAAACATGGCCTGCAGCTTCAGTTACCATTTTTACACATCTTTCAACTGACTATGTATGAGAAGTCCAAGAAGGAACTTTCATAGGATAGTTTACAAACTCTTTGATGGTGGCAGATGTAAGAGTGCTGGTAAGTGGTGGCTCAGTTACATTCAAGTCCCATGTTATGAGGTCTCCTAGCTGATCAGCATTAGGATTTATTTCTGGTGTTTTTCTTACTCTGATACTACTATCTCCAACTTGAGTTGCATTATCTCCTTCTTCTTTTCTTTCTTCTGTATTTTTGCTGCAAAGCATGGCTTATAAAATGGCTTCAGAAAGTGCATACCACGCTGATTGCCTAATTGTTGGCATAACAATATCTAAAACATTTTTAATCTGTGTTCTAAGTAGCTCTAGTTGATACAAAACATGTCTAGGTCCCTCTATCCAATTTGATTTCACTTTAATGTTAAACCATTTAGGTATGTATAATCTAACAATAAATTTACAAAAAAAGGCATGTAACAATTTTTTGCCAACCTCAAACACTTTCAGGTCGGCATTGCTGACCCTAATTCCGAGGGTTGTATGATCTATAATGAGATGGAAATTACTCTCGCTTATAAGTTTTGCATCTATTAAAGTAGCTGTGGCTATTTCCGCAGCTTCTCTTAAACTTGTTTGATGTCTCATGCTAGCCAAAGTAATACTTTTGATTTTTATAGTATTATACATGGAAAATGTTTGATTCAGGGAAGATTTGCAGTTAGTTGGACTATCTACTTGGATCATATTCTTCTCACAATCATCTTAAAATGTTATAGAAGAGCTACATAAACTGTTTCAACAGTATCAGAACGTACATAATCCTAAAAAATATAAGTTCTTTTTATTTTTAATCAGAATCTAAACATTAATAACAACTTATTTAACACAAATACTTATATATATAATTATATTTTTTTAATTTGACCTAATAATTGTACCTCATTTTAATATAGAATATAAAGAAACAAAACTTTTACAATGAAATAGATATTTTGATAGAAATTAATAGTTTTACACTTACTAGCCCTACATGTGACTGAAAAAGTGATACAGATTCATTTTCGTTCAGACAATCTAATTTTTCAAATTTATTTGTTTTATCTGGCTTAAAATAAAAGTAATATATATATATATATATATATATATATATATATATATATATATATATATATATATATATATATATATATATATATATATATATATATATATATATATATATATATATATATATATATATATATATATATATATATATATATATATATATATATATATATATATATATATATATATATTATAATAAATGTTTGTACATATTATATGTAGTACAAGCTTTCTAATTAACCAGCTACCTTTTTTTCTTTGTCATAGCTTCTTTTTGTTGTTGTTTTTTTTTTAATTTTTTTTTTCAATTCTTTCCTATCTGCACCACCAATATGAAAAGTTCCAAAGCTTCCTATGTTGTCCACAAGTTTGTCTAATTTTAAAGAAAATCTTGCTTTTTTAGCTTTTTTACCACCTCCAATACTAAAATCAACAGCCAATTTCCGTAAACATTAAGTTTTTTAAAAATTGTTTTTTCATGGATTACGACTGGATATACAAAAGTGCATTTGCCTTTAACCATTGACCAAGTAAAGCTGGTACCAGACAAAGTATACCATATCGTAAAATATCTCTGGGTGTTGGAAGCTCAGATACATAAAGTTCTTTTCTATTGCCTACAAGTTTGCTCATTTTGATAAATAATGCATTCCTTGTTCTATTTAACATCTTTAATTAACTAAATAAATTTACCGGAGCTTTCCTTTTTTGTCCAAATATGAAGTATAAATGCAAAGAAATGTATAGTTACGCATTTTTAGTACTTATTTTAGTAATAACCAAAATAAGTAATAATAAAATGAAAAATTACTAAGCTAGCACTAAAATAATTTCATTTTTAAAAACATCGCTCCTATTAAAAAATTATATAATTATATTTTTTCACTAATCTTTTTCCTAAATTTAAAAAAGTGCATTTTACCATAAAAATTAACACACCCTATTGCACGCGCTTTCTGGCAAGGTTTGGTTACTAAGTCATTCGATTTACTAGCTTAGCTTCTGACATTCATAAAATGTTCATCTGGGAGCCTCAAAGTTGCTTCACTACAAAAATAACTACCTGTCTCTATGACATCCTTTTTTTCTTTATAATTGATGTAAAAATTAAAGAGACAAAAATATGAGTAGTCTCCTCAGCCTTTTTTAGCCTTATGGAGATAAAAAAAAATTCTTCAAAAATATGCCAACCTGATTCTCAGCCTTATTGAGATAAATAAAGTAAAAAAAATTTTCTAAAGTTAACCTGATTCTCAAAAGTAGCAAAGTTCCATACATAGTTTCAAAAATATCTATATAAAAATATTTTATACTAATACTTATAAAAAAAAATTTAATTTAAATAAAAAATGAAAAATATATATTTTTTTTATAGCAATACTTTTTATGCAATCAAATCATAAAGGATCCTTATTTTTAGTTGTTAAAGAACACTAAATTAAATCTGTTTTTGGGGAACATTTTTTTTCTTTCAAGTTTTATCCACCAAAATATAAAATTATATTCTGCTAAAGAATTATTATGAAAGTAATTGATTGCTTCATTCACTCTAATGTTTATAAAAAATATACAGGTTGTATCTCATAATCTCAATGCACAAGCTAATCAATCTTTTAAAGTAAGTTTTGATTTTTTTTTTTTTTTTTTTTAAATTACCTAATTTTAGAATATGAAATTGATATTATTTTAAATGGGTACCAAGTTGATAACATTTGTTTTATATTTATTTTATTTTATTTTTTCACTGCAAAATTTTAGTTTTAAGTTAATAATATTTTACATAATGGCTTTTGATGTCATAAAATGTTTTATAAAGACATGGTTTATGATGTTATTGACTATAAAAAAATATGTTTTATGCAACCATAGATCATTCTACAAAGGCATTAATTATTATTATTATTAGGATTATGAATTTTTTATATTCATTAAGGGTATCAGGTAAATAAAGTTCATTGAGGGTATAAGGTGATTAAAATTGATTGAGGGTATAAGGTGATTAAAATTCATTTGGGGGCATGAGGTAATTAAAATTCATTGAGGGTATGAAATATTAAAATTCATTGAGGGTATGAAATAATTAAAATTCATTAAGGATATAAGGCGATTGTAATTCATTGAGTGTATGAAGTAATTAAAATTCTTTGAGGGTGTGATATAACTAATATTCATTGAGGGTATGATGTAATTAAAATTTATTTGAGGGTATGATGTAATTAAAATTTATTTGAGGATATGATGTAATTAAAGTCCATTTGAGGGTATGATGTATTTAAAGATAAGTATAGATTTGATGATTGTGGTTTCTATTAGTGAAATGTTTGGTGGTTTTCATTAGAGTGCTAAAGATTTTCTAAGTCAACTCTCGATAATAGCAATAGAGAAAGGACTTGATAAGCAAAGATTTTCTTGCATGAAATGTGGCAAGTCCATAGGATTGAGTAAGTTTTTTGCTTTTTTAAATAAACAAAAGATTTTTTGACTCAGTATTTATTTTTTTGATTTTTTAATTTTTGCAATTAGTTTTCTGTTTTTAAGTAATAATAATTCAGCAATAGTTTTAGAGGTAGTTTAAAATTTTTTTCTTTTCTTCACATAAATATGTAGTTAGTTAATGTACCTATGTAATATATTTTCTACTATATTTCTATATGAATAAAAAAGTTAGTTTTTTTTTTTAATTGCATGTAAATATATTATCATTTATATAAATTTACATATATTATCAAGTTTGATGAGAGATTGACCAGGATGTGCAGTTGATTAAAGGTGAGTTTCCACTCATCCGTTTTGCCACGGGAAAGGGTACGGAAAAATAATCACGTAAGCATGCGCAGTTTTATTACAATAAAAAACTTTTATTACACATGCTCACGTGATTATTTTTTCCTTTCTTATCCCGTTCCCGCTGAAAAACGGATGAGTGGAAACTCGCCTTAAGATGACAAGTTTAAATAAAAGAAAAGTTGCTAATTGTTACAAGTTTAAATTGAAGTTGTGAAAAATCACAGGCCAGGTTGATCAATCAAAAACTGGCCTGTGAAAAATCACAGGTTGATCATAATTAGAAATCTTTTCAGGGGATTTGAAATTTGAAATAAAGGTTAAAAAAACTAAGAAAAATAATTAATATTAAAAAATAAGTATAAAAGGTTTTAGATATTGCTATAAATAAAATTAATAAAAAAAAAAATATAAATTAAAGAAAAAAAGATTAGCGAACCAAAAAGTTGTAACAATAGGTGTGAAGGCTCCATAAAAAAAAGATTAGCAACAGTTGTTAAAAAGCAAATGCTGACAATAAGAGGCTCACAAAAGTACAGTGGTGCATTAAAATTGACATATAAAATTTGTAAATGAGTAAATAAATAGATACAGCTATGCAGTAGAAAGCATATCACTTCTAAAAAATAATATCTAAAAAAAATTTTATAAAAAATCCCTTAACACTAATTATTTTTCTTGCCAGCGGAAGCTTTCTTGCCAGCGGAGGTTTTTGATTTTTTAAAACAAGAAAAACTGCAAGTATACATATGTTGTTTGAGAAAAACAAAATCAATTAGAGAAATCAATGGACCTATCTATACGAAAAATATCATATCTAATTTGGTTTAAAAACATCTGGTTTTTGTGATTGCAATAAATAAACTAGAGAGTTTGTTGATGTTAAAAAACCAGCAGCTTTCAGTTTTAAAATATTCTATGTTCTAGCGGGGAATTTTATTGAAATTCAAAAATTTTCCTTAAAATCAAGTACTGTGAAGCAAAAATATGGCAAGTTTATATATTTTTAGTATTCTAGAAAAATTTCATCTAAATTCACCTAAATACTAAATACTGTCAACTTTTAGACCTCCAATTTTTACAAGATGACAATGTAGATTATACATGTATTCAATGACTTTTGTAATATTTTTTTGTTTTATTGTTATTTGATTAAACTGTTATTTTGTGTTTTAGTAAAAATTGTAAATGTTAACTTACAAGAGAAAGACTGAAAAATGATTTTCTCCAACATCAATGGTAATAGCGGTGGCCAACCATGTTATTGATGGAAAAGAAATATAGATTTGCAAAAAAGTATGGAATCCACTACTCAACTCTTTTTTGTTACACAAATAAATTAAAAAAAGCTGTTTATATGGGAATACTACTACCTGTTTCTGGTTATAAAAAGTCACGTCAAGTTTTTAATTTTGAACAAAAAAAAGCTTTTGCTTCATATATATCAATAGCTTCTGATATTTATTTTAGGTTATCACCTTATGAAGCACAGAAGCTTGCATTTAAGTGTGCTATAAAATATGACATTATTTTCCGAAATTGGGGTTAAAACTTTTAATGGCTGGTCCTAACTGGATGAGAGGGTTTTTTAATTGACATTCAGGATTGTCTATGTTACTATGTTACAACTAGTTTTAATCATGCTAATGTAGGTGTATTTTTTCAAAAATTATCAGATGTTTTTGATAGACCTCATTTTTCTGCATCTAATATTTACAATGTTGATTAGACTGGTATCACCACTGTGCAATAACCAAACAATTGCTTGTAAAAGTATTAAGCTAGTTGGAGCATTAACTTTTCAAAAACGAGGGACACTAGTGACAATGGTGTTAGCTGTAAATGCATTTGGCAATATTGTGCCTCCAATGTATCTTTTTCTAATTTTTTGACCACTTTATTCATGATGGACCAAATGATTGCACTGGTGCTTCAAATGGATCAGGCTGGATGAATGAGGAGTGCTTTGTTACTTACTTGAACCACTTTATTCAGTATGTCAACAAAAGAAACAAAAGAACAACAAAAGAAAGCCCTGTGCTATTACTTTTAAGCAACCATCAGTCTCATTTATCTATTCAATTAATAACATTGTGTAAAGATAAAGGTATAGTTTTGCTTTCCTTTCCTTCTCATTGCTCACATAAGTTGCACCCTCTAGATAGATCTGTATTTGGACCAATCAAAAAATGCATAGCTAGCGCTCAAGACGAAAATTTTAATTTTTAACTTTTTAAATTTTAATTTTTAACGCACAAGGTGAAAATTTGGCCAGAAAAAACAATGAGTATATATGATTTGCCAGGAATTGCAAAAGTAGCCTTACAGTATTTTCATACACAACAAAACATAACTTCTCAATTTAGACTGGCAGGAGTATTCCCATATGGTAAGGATATATTTTCAGATCCAGATTTTGCTTCATTATTTGTTAATAATTGTCCAGCAACTCAATCTAAAACAGGTATTATATTAGTATATCAATTTCAATCTCAGATGCAATTCCATCTCTGGTATCATTAAAATTTTCCCCAGAGAATGTAAGACCTCTACCAAAAGCACATCCTAGGAAAGAAATACTCACAACCACAATCAAAGAGAAAGCTTAAATTCTTACAGATACTCCAGTTCTAGAAAGAGAAAATTTCTACATCAATAAAAAAAAAGTTGATTTGAAATGTAATTTTTTTACATTAAAAAAATTGTTTTTTATATAAAATGTGTTGTGTTTTTATATCCTGAAAACAGAAAAAAACAGAGCTTAAATATCCTAAAAACTTTTCTTGCCTATTTTTAAAATTAATTGTTGTTTATTTTACTAAAATAATTTTTTTTTTCAAAAACAATAATTAGTTAACTGAAATGAAAGTCATTTGAAGTCTAGCATAATAAAAGTATTGCAGCTCAATGGAAATTCTTTCTTTTATTATAATTATAAAATTTGTTTTGCCAAATATAAATTACAGATTAAGTGTTAATTTTTCTGTGAACTCTGTAAGGCTTTCAAATTATTGTGTTGCAACTTACCCCGTTGCAATTTGTCTAGTGCGGGGCAAGTTTGAGCATTTTTTTTTTTTCATTTTTGTTTCACTATTGCAGAATAACGCAATAAAAAGTTTTATATTTATCAATGTTGGATTAATATGTCACTATGATCTATTTTATAACCCTTAAAAAAAAAGTTCAAAAAATATTAAAGTTTAAAGAGATAAATGGAATTTCTTAAATGTTGTTGCAACTAGTCCCAGTCTCTTCTATTATTAAAATGCACATAGTTAATACAATTATTTTGCAAAAAATAGTAAAAAACAGTTTAAAAAAGAAACTTAACATAAAGAATATATACTTATATAGTATATATTCCTTAATAATCAATAACAAATACATATATATGTTATTAATTTTTTTTAATAAATATTTATTTTTATTGGTTTATAGCCTTATATTTATGATTGAAATTATTATTTTTTTATTATTTATAATTATTATTATTTATTTTTCTGTCAAAGGGGATTTCCATACTTTATAAGTATGGAATGCTTTTTGACAGAATCCCCTTTCAAGTATACAATTTATATTCATCAAAAAAGTTGTTCTTTATTGGAACACATGCTATCAATCATTACATAATAGTTAAAAAACAAACAACATATTAACTTAAATTATCATTTTACAAATACTGACATGGATCAATTTTAAAAAAGTTTAAAATACCGCTTATTCGTTTTTTGACATTAAATATTGCAGCAGAAAAAATTTTTTTAACTTCAATGTTTATAATATTTAGTATTCAAGTTCACAATATTTAGAGACAAAACAAAGAAACTATATAAAACATTTATTAAATAACTATAAATATCAGCTGAAATTGAATTTTAAAGAAACCAAGTAAATTTGTCATTAAATTCTTATGCAATATTAAAGCTGAGTACAATAAGTAACGAGTTCACCCTGCTATAAAAAATAACTAGGGGTGTACCAAAATGGAAACTTTAAATTTTGGCCAGAACTGGATTTGCCAGAATTGTCAATAAATTTCTGGCCGCAATTCCAGCCGGAACAATAATTTTATTTATGTTATTTTTTACCTTTAAGATTAAAGTGAAAGCCTGAACTTTAATTTTGTATATAATTTATATTTATAACCTTTTTCATTAATTTGATTCTTGTTTTATTAAAATATAAATGTTGTTTTTAGTTGTTTTTTCAAATTTTATGTAATGAAAGTTTTAACCTGCAAAATGTTTCTATTTAAAATTAATTCTTTATTTTCTAGATATTCATTTAGGTTAAAATTAAAGTATTTACTGTTATAGGCATCCTATATTTTTGAACTATTTAAAATATAAGTAACATTTAAAATATGACTATTTTCAGAGGCGGGTATTATTTTTCAGAGGCGGGTATTATTTTTCAGAGGCGGGTACTATTTTTCAAAAGCGGGTAATATTTTTCAGAGGCGGGTATTATTTTTCAAAGGCGGGTTATATTTTTCAGAGGCAGGTATTATTTTTCAGAGGCGGGTATTATTTTTCAGAGGCGGGTATTATTTTTCAGAGGCAGGTATTATTTTTCATGAAAAAAGAGTCTAGGACTAGTTTGTTGCCCAAAACTCTTATTTTTGCACCACAATGTTTCTAAACTTCCAGAAATCCTTACATAATTGATTATTGCTAATAAAATTACACTGTGTTCATTTACAAACTTGTATTTTTACCTAGGTTTACCCAGGGCTTCGGAGCTAAGGTAAAATTTTGACTCCAGCTCCATTAAAATTTTGAACTCCAGCTCCAGCTTTGGCTCTGGATCATCTCCGGAGCGGCTACAGAAGAAACAAATCAATATAATAAAATATTTTTTAAAGTATCAGGTTTTGGTAGTTATATCAAGATTGCTTGATATAATCTCAAGTGCAGGAAACAGCCTCTCTATACTTGCTTGTGAGAAATCCATAGAAGTGAATATACATGCTCTGTATATGCATACTTTGTATCCTTTTTTTGGGTCCTCATTTCCTTCAAAAGCTGATTTAGCTTTTAAATGTTTCTTTTCTTCCGGTCGTGACAGTCGTCCTCGTGACAGTTGTCCATGAAATATGTATTATAAGTGCTTTTATTTAAAAAGTTAGTTTTGGTCACACTTTTTAATTTTTCTTTTTTATCTTTTTCAAACTTGTTTTACCTTTTTTTTTTTTTTTTACTCAAAACTGATTGAAGTGTTGTAGATGATTCAGCTGTTTTTCTTATTTTTTGAGTTTTTCTTAATGTTATGTATTGTCAAAAACAACTTTATATACATCAGGTCAGGTATAATTTATAAAATTTCTTAGTGCCTCAAGTTATTCATAAAATACTTAACACTCAATTTATACCTATCAAAGTATCAAATGCTTCATTTAGAAATCATAAAACTTTAAATGAAATTATTAATTACAGTTTAACTCATACTTTGATTTTATAAATTATCAAAATGTGTGACTATATTATCCTCTTGTGACTATGTTTTCTTTTCTTGACTATCGGGAGATGTGTATATTTATAAAAATAGTAATAATTGAAAGTACCAAAGTTTGCTATATATTAAAATATTTTAGAGTGTATTGAATTTTTATTTTTACATGAATGTATTTTTTTCTTCTTAAATCTTAACAATTTCAATTGTTCAATTTATTTCCTGAAAGTAAGTGTTATGTTTCCAGAGAGATGTTTCCTTAATTTTTTGTTAAAGCCTTCTTCTTCATGGTGTTTTTAATGACATGTAGAGAGTTTTTTTTTGTTTTTAGTTTATGGCTCATTTAATGTGTGCAGTTTTGATGGGGGGTATGTTTTTTTTGTTTTTCAAAATCTGATTATTTCTGATTATTTTTTTATGTTTATAAATAGTTGTTTGATTTTATTTTTATTTTAATTTAACTTATAAAGAATTAATTACTAAAATGGTAGTGATGTAAAGTTCAAAACCCCAACATCTCTGGAAGTACTGCACTCAACTTGTTTTATAAAAGTTCATGTTTTGTGAAAGTTCATGCTTTATGAAAGTTCATGTTTTATAAAAGTTCATGCTTTGTGAAAGTTCATGCTTTATGAAAGTTCATGTTTTATAAAAGTTCATGTTTTGTGAAAGTTCATGCTTTATGAAAGTTCTTGTTTTATAAAAGTTCATGCTTTGTGAAAGTTCATGCTTTATGAAAGCTCATGTTTTATAAAAGTTCATGCTTTATGAAAGTTCATGTTTTATAAAAGTTCATGCTTTATGAAAGTTCATGTTTTATAAAAGTTCATGCTTTATGAAAGTTCATGTTTTATAAAAGTTCATGTTTTATAAAAGTTCATGCTTTGGAGGGTTAAAAAAAAAGAGTTATAAAAATAGAAGAAAAAAATTAATTCAAAAAATGAGACTGATTATAGTTTCTAGGCATTTCTATTTTCAATAACCGCAAATCTTATCTGCATTTCATCCTCATAAAATCTATTTAGATATTACTGCTTTGATTGCCATGGAAATGATGAGCACATACTGTCAGCTAGAATTATACATAACTGGGATTTTCGAAAATATCCAGGTTCCTATTGTTTTTATTTGTATGTTATTGCATATGTATTTATTGCTCTTTTTTATATATATATATATAATATATATATATATATATATATATATATATATATATATATATATATATATTCATTTTATGTTTTTACAATTGTCGATTACTTTTTAAAAATGTTTAGTTTAAATTTTTAATTTGTTTTTTGTTATTTTTAATTTTAGTTTCAAAATACAACAAAATGTTTCTAAAAAAGATTGACGAAGAACCATTGTTTCACATTGATGAACTCAACCCGGCATTGTATGATGTTGTACCTTTACTGCAAGAAGTTAAGGTTGTCGCTTTGGTTACATATAATTTGTAGAAAATTATTTTCATTTTATTTTTTTATAACTTGTAACTTACTAATTAAGTTTTCGCGTACATAACTTTCATTTATAAAAATTTAGTTTTTGCGTACTCAACTTTCATTCATAAAAAGTTATATACAAACGTGCAGTGACGTTGTACAAGATTTTAAAAGGAGGTAATTTTAATTTAACTGTTGTTTATCTGATAATAATAATACGCTAATTTAATAGTAGTTAATAGTCGACTTAAGTCATTTTCTAGACTTTTCTATTTTAAACTTGTTTCTAGGCTTTTCTATATGCGTTTTTTTTTTTTTTTAATTTTATTTACTAACAACCCGTTTTACGGGTTGCTTACTGCTAGTATTTATAATTAGTGCATTATTATAATTAAGTATTATATTTAATTAATTTTGTTATAATTAATTATAATCATAATTGTTACAATTATAGTTTCTATATAGTTATAATTTTTCATACTATATTTTTTGAAATACTTAAAAAAAAAAAATTTTACAAAGAAAGAGGCATCACATAATTACATGTGTTTCATAAAACTATTATTGTTAATTTAGAGGGAAGTTTTTTTAAAGTAGCATAGATGTTTAGGAATTGTTGTGAAAAGTGTGATAAAAACAGCAGTCTTTTTAACTGAAGCAAAAATTCTCTGCTCTAAGAAAGCGAGCTTTTAAATTCTTAAGAAAGCGAGCTTTTAAAAAATATTTTATATTTTTATTGTTTATATTTAGATTGTGGCCAAGAGATTACTTATGCGATGATGTACACCAGTATTCAATCATAGTTAGTTTCTAAATCTTAAATCCTTACCTATATACCTACCTACCTATATACTTATTTACCTATATACCTACCTATATACTTATTTACCTATATATCTGTTTGCGAGCAAATTGTCAATAAGTAAAACATTTTATCAAGCATTTTGTTTTTACCTATTTCACTCATATGGTAGCTTTATTAAAATTTTCAAATATTTCACAATATTTTAATTATAATTTAAAATTAAAAATTTTTTAATACTACTGCATATAATGCGTCATTTTTAGGACCTTGTTGAAGTTCAAAGTGGTCAATTAGCTCACAATTTGAAGAAAATAGTTGCAGATTTTTCACGTCACATTTATAAATGCAAGGTAAGATATTATGACTACAACTGTTATTGTTTTGTTACTACATTGCTATTTTATTATTTAAATATTTATTTATAAGTGAAACAAATTATTTTTAGTTGTGTAAAGAAAAAGGGTTTATCTGTGAATACTGTCATGATCAAGAAATTATTTATCCTTTTCAACTTGACATTGTTTCTCAGGTAAGCAAACATTTTTATTTAACTCATTTAAATATTTTATTTTATAAAAAATGAAGGCAGGTATGAATGGTAAAATGGTAAGAAAGATGGTAAATAATAATAATAGATTGTTGAAGGAGGTCATTTTAATAAAACGGTCATATAATGAACAACCCTAGAACAATTTTTGTTTTACAACATTTTCCAAAGTTAATTGCTGTTGACTCATAAAGCAATTCATGCTCTAAATGAAGGTAAGCAGAGATTTTGAACTTAGAAGCTGTTTATATTGCACTTAGATGCTGTTTATATTGCACTTAGAAGCTGTTTATATTGCACTTAGAAGCTGTTTATATTGCACTTAGAAGCTGTTTATATGTTTACATGAACCGCGCTAGCCAATTTACTTATAAAAATTAAACTTGTTTAAATAACAAACGAACCAGCCTGGATAACTGAGTACTCATTATGAGTGGGAACCCAAGACAGTTTTCATTTTATTCATGTGTTTTATTTTTTAAATAAACTTTAAAAATGTCTGACAAAAGTGAAATACTTGAATTTAATTGCAAAGAAAGTAATAAAACAAATTTGTGGAAGTTTAAGCAATCATTCTGAGGTGTGATGCAAGAATTAAATTAAAAGAATTTAAAAAAGTGAAATACTTGAATTTAATTGCAAAGAAAGTAATAAAACAAATTTGTGGAAGTTTAAGCAATCATTCTGAGGTGTGAGGCAAGAATTAAATTCTCAAGAAAATAAAAAAGCAAATGATGGATTTGGAAGTTTAAGCAAATATTCTGACGAGTATGAAAATAAAACAAAAGTTCCTGGAAGTTTAAGCAAGCATTATAAATGTAGTACCAAAATGGTATAAGATTCAATAGAGTCAGCCATATAAGAATTTATATTCAGCCATATAAAATCCTCTTGTTCTACATCTAACTGCTGTGATTGAAAGATTTTATTTTGCATTAGATGGAGGCGGAGGTTAGGACTATTGCTCTTAGAAGCTTTTGACAAAGTTTGGCATGCTGGTCTCCTACATAAACTTGCTTGATATGGTATATCTGGAAAAGTTTTTAAGTTTATTAAGTTGTTTTTTTCTAACTGCTTTTATTAAAGTCATCCTCAAAGGCCAACACTCTTCTTCATTTCCAGTAACTTCTGGGTACCTCTTTTTGATTGCTTAGAACAGGCAGCCGATCTTGAATCTGATCTCACTTCTCCATCATTGTAAAGTTGCATCTCTTTCTTTTTTCTACAAATACTATCATGGTTGTTGCTCAAAGGAGCTCTCATCTCTAGTTCCATCAGCTAAAACTCATTCTTGCTTGATTCGTTGTTCAGCAAAGTTTCATTTGTTTATTGTATCTGTACCTGCATGCTCTAAAAAAAATTATTTGTCTAGTTTTTTTTTTTTCTTTGACCTTTTGTTACTCTCTCCCATCTTCATGTTTTCCTGACCCATACTACCTATAACTTTCTTTGCTCTATAACTCTATTCCTTATTTCTAGTTCTAATTTAATAATGGTTGCTTGTTACTTTGTTGGGAGTGATTCAGAATTTTAAAAAGTTTAAATCCTCTATGATGTTTATAAATTAAGACTTTGGCACTGATAAACTAGCTCAGTATTCTTTTATCAGAAAGGATATGACAAATAAATATGAAGGTGAGAACTTGTTTGGTTTAGGATCAGACATTCCAAATTTACTGTTAAATTTTAAACAACTATCTAGTCAAGAAAAAGCTCTCCTTAAGACAGAATTTTGTCGGAAAAAAAATTTCTAGAGGAAAAAATTAAATCCAGTAAAAAACAAAAGATTAGACAAGCAATTTCTAAAGCTTCTGGGTCAAGAAGTGGCAGTGGAGAAATTGTTTTTGAACACTATGATAATCTTGTGTCAATATGGGATGGTTCAGCAAATAGTAATTCGTTACCATTTGGTATTTTAAGTAGTAAAAATTAACTTTAAATAATATTGAAAATGTAATCAGTAATCATGAGGATATTTTGGACTGTAGCGATAATGAAAATGAATTGTAACAAAAAAATAAAAAAACATTTGTAGTTCCAAAACTTATTGACAATAAAAGAAAAATCTTTAAAAAAATCTTTCTGCAGCACTTTTTTTAAATGGAATGAAATGTGATGGAGAACTTTGCAAAGACCTAACTAAAGCGATAAAAGAATCTAATGAATCTTTTTCTTATTACATAAAAGGCATTAGTAAATTAATTGGTGACCTAAGCAAGGGTTTGTGTTTCTCTGTGGAACTATTTTCCAGAACACTGATCTCCCAGCAGCATACATCTGCTATTCAAACTCTTACACTTCAGCGTTTTTTTTACCAAAACAACAGTGTTTTTCAATCTATTTGGATTCAGATAAACCACAATAACTACGAAAAGTTGATTGATAATAGAAACAAGCTTAACTATTTATAAACTTTATAAGACATGCAATCATTTATGTTGTTAAAAAGTTTTAAATCACATAAACATTTTTAGTGACTAAAAATCATTAATAAACATTTTTATAAATAGAATTGTGAAAAACTTAAAATTGTGAAAAATTTAGTAACTCTTGCTATCACGACTACTTGAGATCTTGAACTTTTGTGTATCTTGAACTTTATTTCCAGTCCTTTGTTCACTTATTTTAGCCAAAATCCTCTTGAAATCTCAATATCTCAAACTTTTTGAGCGAGATACCGAGAGTCAACTGTATTGCGATAATTAATTTTATTCTTTTTAAACATTTTCAACAATATCTTGTCAAACAAAAAATCATAATAAAATTGGAACAAAAATATAAAAAACTTTTCATTTTATTAAAAGGTTATTTTTTTTATATTTGATTTTATTCAGCATTTGGTCTTTACCATAATTTTCATTAATATACTCAGTTAAAGCTTTGCAAATAACTTCACCTTCATCATCAATACAAGATAAAATTGGATCTGGTAAATTTCTAAAATTTAATTTTCGTTTATTAACTCAACTTATTTTTTTACAAACTCTGTCTTTCAAATAGTATAGCATTATAGCGACTTTTTTTATCTGGTGTGATTGCTCTTATATTTCTTATATTTATTATATATCTTATATTATATTTGCTGAGCAAGAATCTGGAGATAGGTTCAAGAAGAGAGACAAGTTCAAAAAAGGAAGTCTTATCTGATCTAAAGTTTTTTTTCCAAGATTCTTCCAATGTTATATTTAATATCAGATCTTGCCACCACAAATCTGCGCGTCCAAAATAGAACCAGTCGCTTTTTTTTTTTCCTGCTTTCTTTGGCTAATCCCATATATTTGACGCCTAGAACTCAATAAATCAAGCATCATTAACTAATTAAAATCTATTTTCCTTTTAATTGCCATTATAAATTGTAAAAAAATGTTAATAGTTTTTATATTGATTATTTTTAAAGTTGTAAAGAATTTGTTTATGTAATGCTAAGAAATCCATTTTTCAGCTTTTAATTTTATTAACTGGGCACGTGATGTAAACAAATATTCCATCCCGGTTTAGCGGGTTTGAAAAAATCTATATAAACTTAATAATAACATTCATCTCACAGTTAGTCAGCCCGGCTGACAGATCCAGCCCGTCCATATATCCTTTTAAACAGCTTTTTAGACAATTTGCTTTTTCCTAACTTTATAGATTACTCTCAGGCGTTTGTGTTGTTTTTATTTAAAGAAAAATGAATTGCATTTAGTCCTATCAAATGCATTTTTTATTTCTTAAATCTTAGTAATAGTTATATTATTAAGTTTTATTGAAATTGCAATGATTTTTATTTAATGTCTTTGGTGTCTACATTCTTTTAGTGTTTATGTTGCTTGTCTGTATATCATCAAAAATGCCGTCAAGAAAAAAGATGTCCGAAATGTGTGCGAGTCCGTCTGAGAAGTCAAGGAAACAATGAAAAAGAACGTCACTTTTCTGTAACACAAATTGAAAATTCTGAAACTAATGACATTTTATGACGTAGTTTTTAATACAAACAAAATTATGAATAATAATATAAATACTCATTCTTAGACCAAATAATTCTAATTATGTTAATTTATGTGTTTGACGCTTATTAAAATTTCTAATTTTTAAAGACATATTTTTTAGTATTCGTAAAGAGTATCGATATTTTGATAACTGTTGTAATATTTCCTATTTTTATTTATTTGTTTTTAGTTTTTTACTTATATTTTCAAAGTTTTTTTTAGTCAGTTTTAAACACCGCCGTTAAAGTTTAAATTTTTGTTTTTAATATCCGTTATTTCGTAGCATTCAAAATAACAAACATTGAGATTGAAAAATGAAAGATGTATAATTTTATGTATCATAAATTTTATGCATTTAAAATGTTAAAAAATTCTTAAAAGACAAATGATTTTTTATTATGTCACGCCTTAACTTTTTAACATAATGTAAAAATTTTTTTTTTTTTTTTTTTTTTTTTTTTTTTTTTTTTTTGCGCAGTAAACCTGAATTCACGCATTTCATTAGTGTTACAAAAAAAAGTGCACATTATCACATTCGGGAAAAAGTAAAAATATATATTTGAATATAAAAGAAGTGCACCTATTGCAAATTTATAGAAATTTATAGAAATCTTGAATCTTCATATGAACTTTTACCAATATTGACACACTAGTTTCTAATTTAAAATCAGTTTTCTCCAGCGCACCAAATGTTTTCTCTACAGCTTACCCTCCATACAAAGAAAACCTATTAGCTGTAGTAATCTAACAGTAAATGTCTAACGGTCTTGTCTAGAAGAGCATTTAACAAATTCACGCCTACTTTTTTACCAATGTTGTAAGCATCAAACCTTGCACTCCTTGGTTCTGAAGCCAGCGCTTCAGAAGTCACTTTGGTTACTCTTTGGTTTTGAAGTTAGCGCTCTAACCATTGCACCACAGATGCAATGCTTTTAGATTTAAATAGCAAATGTTACGTTTAACGCTTTTTAACTACTCTTCTTTAGTATAGCAGTATACCTGCAATAAATTAATAAATGCGTGGAATTTGGCTATCGACAATTATTAAAAATATTATCACCAATAACTAGATGGCCTTTGATAATAATATCATAAAATTGACATCAATGATTATTTTCTGAATTTTATAAAAACCAAAAGTTTAACCCCTGATAATAATAATTTCTTAACAGCATACACAAAACAAAAAAAAATACCGATTTATTTTGAAAATTTTTGCTAAAAATCAATTTGGAATTCTTAACTGAGTGCAAATAACGTAAGTGATTTTTTTTTTAAGCGTTTCTATACAAATATAATAATGCTTGTTCCTGTGAAAATATGATGACAATATGAAAAAGTATATTAAAAGATTTAGAAAAAAAATTCTCGTGAAGAGTATTCTTTGAGATGTATAAGGCTGAACTGTCTCTTAAAAAAATTTGTATGAGGCTGAACTGTCTAGTAAAAGCACTCCTAAAGTCACAAAAAGTAAGTTTTGGCCTGATATTCGGTTTCTAATTTTTAATATTATGTCACTTAAATAATAATAGAGCAAAACAATATAAGAGAATGGCAATATAAGGTCGCTCCGACAAATGGACAATCTATTCCCAGACCCCAATGATTTAAAGATCGCTTTAAATACTTGCTATATATCAAAAGGTCATTAAAATCATATTTACAATGTGATTGTATAGTTTAATGAAATTTAGGTTCTGTAGCTTAACATATTAATTTTGCCCCAGGACCCCGAGCCAGCTTTGAGCAGTCCGGTATGAAAGTATTTATGAAAATCACAAGCATCGAATAAAGAAAAAGGAAAAAAAAATTAGTGAAATACAAAATCGAAAGTTTAATTAGGTTTAAATAATTCTAACATGCGATAAATTAGATAAAATTTAAGAAAGTAAACAAAAAAGTTGGTAATAATTATATTAGTAGATGGTATTATTATTAAATGAACAAGCAAAAGTTAAAAATTGAAAGAATTAAGTTGAATACACATTATTGGATAAAACAAAAATAACTACTTACAAAAACTAATTTCAAATATAGTTTCACTTTTGCTCTGTGAGAAGACCGTAAGGACTTCTGGGAGCACCTTATTAACTACAAAAAAAAGTATACGGGGGAGGGGCTGACTCAAAAACCTACAAATGTGTACGCAGTTTGACAATCTCTTGCTCTTTATCTCTCCTAAAACTTGATTTCTTTTTTTTACTTGATTTCTTTTTTAAACTTGATTTCTTTTTTTTAACATTTTTTTGTTTTTAATTCTCTAAAAAATTTTTGCGTTAGGTAAGAGTAGTTGATTTTTTAATAAATAATACCTATGACGCAGATGGAGGGGGAGGGGTAGTTAAAAATATACAGGTTCGTACGAAGGGTTAGGAGTCCTAAATCAGTTATTTTACAATGTACGTACTTTATGGTTGATCTATTTGATAACTTACAACTTCAGGTTTCTCTCTTTGTCATTAATAATAATAATAATGATAATTAAAAATATGTCTTTTTTTTTAGAACGTAGTTTAATCCTAAGGTATTATCCTAAGGTATAATATTCAAAGCAAATATTATTGGAAAAACTACATTTAACACATAGAAACTAAAATCTTCAAGACAATACAAATAAATATCAATAAATATTGATAAGACAAGTATTAAACAGAACTGTAGCCACTATTTATATTTAAAATTTTAGATTTAATGAACCCAAATATATTATCTTCAAATCAACGCACACGCAAACACGTGATTCTATGCGTCAAAAGTGCATGCTAGCAAGCTTAAAAGTTTTTTAACAAGCAAAAAAAAATAATAATAAATGAATAAGAAATGTTTTCTACATTTTAAGGTACTAACAAGTTGAGTCCCAGCAAACACGGACGTTAAAAAGATGTCTTTTAAACGTCTTATACACGTTTTAGACGTCTTTTGAACGTTCAAAAAACGTCTTTTTTTGATTCGGTGTTTACTGGGGTAAAAGTTTGAAATGCTTGATATTTTTTATTCTCTGCAAACGAAATGATTCGTTGCAAAAGGAAACATTGCAAAGAAATGAAAGGAAGTGAAAATGAGCAGCCATGGTGCAGTGGTAGCGCACTTGCCTCAGAAGCAAAAGATCCGTGATTCTAACCCTACCTCAGGGCATGCTTTGCGACATCGTTCAGGAAGAAGGCGTGAATTTCTATTAAATGCTCATCCGCAGTACTCTGTGATAAGACCGTAAAGACTTCTTGGGGGCACATAAATAAAATTAAAAAAAGAAAAAAAGAGAAATGCATGATTTATAAGAATTCGATCTCATAAAAACATTGTGGATCTGATCTCTCATGGTGTTAAGTGTGATATCTTTGATATGGGGTGCAAATCTTGCATCTGCAACACACATCAAAAATCTGTGCAGTTTTTAGGGGCTAACGCTAACTTAGAGATTTAAAGCTAACTTAGAGTTTTGAACATTAAACAAACTAAATTACTTTGAAAAAAAAAAATTATTTTAGTAAATTCAAAGAGGATTTCACCAAGTCATTTTGTTTTTTCTTTCAAATTTACGTATTTTTAAAATAAATTCAATCTTCTCATTTTTAAATACAAGCTAATTTTTCTAGGGTCAATGACCCTAAAAAAATTGCTGCACTTTCTTGCTCCTTTAAGAGATATTTTAAATTGAGTAATGCATAGTTTTGTTAAATACAACGTATTTTTTAAAAAAATATAGCCCATCTTTTTTTAAAAAAGTACTAGTTTTCGAAAGTTTTTTTTAAAGAAAAAACAAAATGACTTGGTGAAATCCTCATTAAATTTACTAAAACTTTTTATTTAGTTCCTTATGATAAATTAAGTGAACGAAATTATTAGAGGTGTGTATTTTAAATAAAGGTTAATAGTTAGTTTAAACCAAAACCAAACTTGGAACAACGTGGAATTTTTAATTGGCTTGCATATAAGTTAATAATTGAGCATATAAAATTACATATTTTAATTGTAAACCATAAAAAAGGAATTTTTTAATAAATACAAAATAAATTAAAAAAATATATTTTTATTTACTAAGAACAAAGTAGTTTAACACAATCATTATTAGACAGGCTTGTAGCATACGGGGGAGGGGGCAGAAAGGGCATTTGCCCCACCCCACCCCACCCCCCCCTCCTCCTCCTATAGTCTTTCAAATGAGGAATTTTGAAAAAATTGACTAAAAAAATGACTTAAAAAAAAAGGTCCTTAAAACTATTTTGGGGCCCTTTAATCCAGCACTGCCCCCTTCTCCTCCCCCCCCCATCTCCCTTAATATAATTTTTGATCCTACGCAATCGAGTGTTTTGTGCCAAAATTATTTTTGTAGTTTTTTTTATTAGAATAGCTATATTTATATATAAAATGCATAAATAAAGTAGTAAACATGTAATTATATAATATAATGAAAATAATAAAAAAAGTAAATTTTGGTGAAAAATACGAAATATTTTTAATGGACAAGACAACTTTTATCAATGTAAACTTCAAAAATATTACTTTTCAATGCATGTATTTGTCATAAAAAAACTTCTTTAAGTTTATATTTACAGCACTTATATATTATAACTGTAATAAAAGATTTTGTAGTTATTCTTTGTGTACAAAACATCTTTTTCTCTAGAGATAAATGGTCACGCTAATTCACTGAGAACAGATATTAATGATGCGTCAAAAGCTATAAGGAAGCATAGACAATTTTATTTGCTAGGGTTCCCTTAACAGAGTCTTGCTGCTAATAGACTTCCAACAAATGGAGAAATACTCAGAAGGTATTACTGGCTTAATCTCGAAAAAAGCAATAGGTAAATCTGAAATTATTTAACAAAGGCATTATATTTTTTACACGTTTAATGTTAATTTTTGAATTTTTTTTTTAATTTTTTAGCACCACACAGATCAACATCAAAATTTACAAGTTTCTTCCGGGAAGACGTATTTAAGATGCTCCAGGTTTGCTGATGGAGTGTACAGAGAGAACACCAACCAGATAATTACTGGTATCTATATTCTGAGAGAGATTGTCAATTTATGGGAGTAGGCTTGGTTTGACGATGTTTTTATTGTGACGGAGCAGACAAGAATCGCCAACCAAGTCAAGGAATACCACACTTTAAAAAATGCACTAGGATTACCAGAGGGTAAACACTAGGATTACCAGAGGGTAGCTACAAAAAGAAGGTGAACTCTTTTTTGAAAGAGAGCATT